TGACCGGATTAAGGAGGGTTAATGTGATAGGGTGAGTGTGACAGATCAAGGGCAGGAGAGTTTGGTATGGTTGGAGGGGGTGAGGTTAACAGGATTAAGTGAGTGTGGATCAGTGAAGGGTCTGACCGCATGGGAGGAATGACTGGGTGGGAAGGAGTGACAGTGTGTGTGGACGGGCGACCATGCGTGGGAATGGTTACAGTGTGTGTAGGGGGACTGGCAGTGTGTGGGGGGCATGTCAATGTGTGTGTGGGTGACAGTGTGGGAGGGTGACAGTGTGGGGGTGAAAGCATGTGTAGCGAGGGGTTGATAGTGTGTGGAGTGAGGGTGACACTACACTACAGTGTGGGGGAGAGTGTGTTGGGGTGACAGTACAATGTGAAGGAGTGATTGTTTATGGGGGAGTGACAGTATAGTGTGAGGGGGTGACTTTTGTGGGAGGGAGACTGTATAGTGTGGGGGGGTGACAGTATAGTGGGAGGGGGTGACAGTCAGTGGTGTATTTAGGATTTGTGCTGCCCTAGGCAGGACGGTGCTTGGGCACCCCCCCAATTTTAATTTTCCCCACCCCTTCCTGTCAAGGCCGCACTTTGACAGACGCACACTCACTGACAGACGCATACACTCATTGACAGACACACTCTCCTATACACTGACAAAGAATGACATACACACACACTATTACTTGGACACACACTGACAGATGCACACTCACTGACAGACGCACACACTCACTGAAACGCATACACTCATTGACAGACGCACACTTTCATATACACTGACAAACATTGACATAAACACACACTATTACTTGGACACACACTGACAGATGCACAGACTCACTGACAGACGCATACACTCATTGACAGGCGCACTCTCATATATATATATTGACAAACAATGACATACACACACACTATTACTTGGACACACTGACAGATGCACACTCCCACTGACACACACACATTCACTCATATAGATACACACACATACACACTTACAGACACACACACACACATTCACTTACAGACACACACACACATTCACTCACATAGGCACACACACTTGCAGACACACACAAACACAGACATATATTCACTTACAGACACATACACATTTCTCCCAACACTCACAAATTAATAATTTTTTAAATTTTATTTTAAATCCACCCAGCTTCCCTGGGCGAGCTGGAGTGGATTCCTTACCTGTCCCGTGTGGCTTCTGGTCGGGCAGACAGGCAGTTTAGGCGGTGAGGGAGCTTTAATCTTCCTGCTCAGCTCCCTCGCACGCCGCTTAGTGATGCCGGGAGCTGGTCTGATGTCATATTCCAGTTTCATTAAGCGGCGCGGAGGGAGCTGAGCAGGAAGAGCTCAGGTGAGTATGCTTCCTCGCACGCCGCTGTCCGCTGCCCACCGCCTGCCTCGGGGAAACTCTTGAGCCCCCCCAGGACACGAGGCAAGCAAGGGATCTGCCTGGGCGTTTGGGAGGTGGCTTTTTTTTCCGTCCCCTGCAAAGTGCCGCCCAAGGCAGATGCCTTGTTTGCCTCGTGGAAAACGCATCCCTGGTGAGAGTACAGTGTGAGGGGGTGACTGTGTGTGGGTGACAGTACAGTATGTGGGGGTGACAGTATAGTGTGAAGATTTGATGGTTTGTGCGGAAGTGACAGTATAGTGTGGGGGTAACAGTACAGTGTGAGGGGATGACTGTGGGAGACAGTACAGTGTGAGGGGGTGACTTTGTGGGGGGGTGACAGGATAGTGTGAGGGGGTGACAATGTAGTGGGGGGAAAGGTGAGTACCTTTTTTTTTTTTAAGTAATTCATTCCAGTGTCCATGCGCTCTGGTGGCCCGGTGGTAATATTTGATCTGTAGCTCTGTGT